TGGGCGTTGGCGTTGTCGCTGACATACCTTGGGCTGCAGGACGTCTGAGACAACTATGTGCTAGCATGCGTAACGTCGTGGTGGTAAATATACTGAGCCGTGTCACATTGCTCCACACCACAGTTACCAACCAAAAAGCAAAGGAGGAAACCTGGCCTCCTTGGTGGCATCCAATGTGAACGCACTTACCTTATCTCTTTTAGCCCAATCAGTGCCATATGCTTCAAAAGGTTAGTTAAGAAACGTAGAAAGAAATCATGGAAAGGATCTTCGGCCCCCACCATTACTACACATACAAATTACTCTACTCATCTACATGAACCATTCAGTCAGGCCAGAATTGGCAACATCGCTTTGTTAAAGACGAAACCCTTCGTTACCAACAACCTCTTACCACTTCTCTCCCCAACTTTCCTCAGCTCACTACAGCTCAGCTTAGCCCATATCATCTCATTCCACTTCACCAGAGCGATCTGCACTCGTGAGGATATTTGGTTTGGTGATAAAGGCGGGGTTTGCAGAAAATGATATCACTATCCAGATGACTTCTTTTGGAGTGATTAGTCTGCACCTTAACTGATCTGGAACAGTTACTAGTGAGCACCGATTTCTACGAGAAGGCACTTTTATTGAGCTCTTATCTACTGCTAGCTCAGGGTCAGTCAAAACAATACAAATGTGTGAGAATGGGACCAAAACCCTGTCGCTCGTTGTCCTTACCATGGCAGTCATGAGCGCGCTTGCTGCACGCCACAGGTGACCCAACCTGTCGTCCCTACTGGCAGGAGCATTGGCCACCCTGGATGGCATCATGTCGACATGCGGGAGGAGACACACGGGTACCATGGCATGACTCTGGCCTAACCAAAGGGTCGTTTATCTTCGTACAGTAGTACGATCTCAAATGCATCAATGCATTAGTTGTGCCTCCTTGGGCTATCGTTTTTTGATGAAAAGAGATGTTCTTGCTTTTTCCATTGCCAGTTGACAGGGAAGTTGATGACTTCTTGGCTGTGGTACTGACGCCAACACAGATAGGGTGATTACGCACATGTTTAGCGGGCAACGTGTGCTTTGCTCGATGCGTTTAGCTGGATCTGTAAATATGCACAACTCCAAATGTGTCCTCCTTTTTTAGCATTCTAACATTGCCCCTCCTTACGACCAGTAACCAGTGTTCTGAAGCTATTTCTTGGCACAATTTATTCTATTCTTCACAATCCATCAAATGTTTTACCATTAACATGGCAGTGACACTCGTTCTTTTCATCGAAGGCATCTGCTTTCAACTGACTAATATCCACAAGCTAATTGCAAGACTTCGATTCAAGGCACCAATTTCCACGTAAAATATTTGAAGGATGTCATTAGCAGTAGTCACTGTTTGGAACTAGCTGCACGCCTTTTTTGTAAATCTGAGGTGTTTAAATGACGAACAGAGTGGTGGGGAGACAACTGACTCTGGACCATCAATTTGTCGATCGCAGCTGACATTCGTGCACCTGAAGCACTCTCTGAGGTGGTAAGTGGGCAGTCCAGTATGCAGGAGCATTCATCCTTCAACAAAACGCATAATGATTGGGAGTGCCATGTTGTCAACCAAAATGGACATGCAGCTTTTCATTCTTTGCCATACTATGTTGAAGTGAAGCCGAGAAAGTGTCCAACAGAACATTATTGATGCAAACATTGGGGTCACTTTCTACGAACCACTAGCCATTGCAAGCTTGACACTGTACATTTGTGTGAGTACCCATTTCCGCTGAACACGCATTTCACCAGGCACATTGTTACGAAAAGGGAGCAAAGGCGGCAGCACAGCTCAGAAATGCTACTCTGTTATTTAAACTTCCGTCATCTGCGAAGTCGTCTTCGACTGAGCACATTTTGTCAGCCTACGCTGTTCAGCTTCCCATGCAGCACAAATGAGGACGTGGAATTCTTCCATTCCCTTCTGTTTCCCAGAAATACATGATTCCTTTTAATCGTGCCCTTATTGACAGCTTCAAATGCCTACACATTGCAGTAAGCAATGCCGGGACAAGGGAATGTCATATGAGAAGACTAGGTGAGGGTAAGTGAAGTGGCCTGTGGTTCACCCAAACGAGCTTTCATGTTGTCACCTTATAGCACAATAGAACTGCTCAAGCCAAGGGTGATGGGCATGTTCTGACTTCTTCGGTAGTTGCAATCACACATTTGTTGGCAGCCTGTTATATGTGCTCGGTGCCATCATCCACCTCAGCATATATGATCAATGCTAAGCCATGTCAATACTAATCACGACAATCACCTGTTAACCCTCACATGAGTGGCGTATGCGTAGCTACCCTGTGAGATCGGTAGGACAAAGTCTACAAAAAATGCATCATTCCATCACCCATCTTTCCTGGGTACACAAAACTCAATGTATACAAAACCGCTCCTTCTTGGGTTATTCCGCACCAGTATTGCCGAGGATATTTGTGCAACTTGATGAATTTCCTTAGTACATTTGTGATCTCTGCCTGCATGTTCTTCGTCTGCTTACATTTGTAAAGAATCACGTAATACCAAGGAAGGGATGCTAGGACATGGCGATGCTGGGTCAGATTGCCGTAAATCGCTAAATCCTGATTTTGGTTTTACTAAAGGTGGTTACAATTACACTGTGGCATGGCAAATGTGCGTGTTTGCAACCCTGTTGCCCATTGTGCTTAAGTTGGTGGAGTTATCCTAAAATAAGGATGTTCACATTATTTGTCGAATGGATAATGCATCCACTGGTCTGGGAATAAATAGCCACTGGTAATAGGCGAATTCTTAAGTGGTCGGAAAGTGCTAGCCATTAAAACCCATCGACTTGTGCCACGTAAGCCAACAAGCTGCTCTCATACGCATTCTTATCAATCCTTCCTTGATAGGGCAATGTGCTTGCACAAATTCCTTTGTAATCAGCAGCATTTAGCACCAAGAGTACAAAGTGACATTTCTGTGTTTCTTCTCAATCTATGGTTCATTACACAACACGTTCACTCGTGGCGGCATCCTGGCACATGGGTACACAAATGCACTGCAATGCATCTCGTGAAAGCTTCAGCTTCCTAATGCCATCCTCGATAAACCTGATCACTACCATTTTAAAACGCTGTGACTTCATATCGTGTATTATTCTTCATTATAGTTGAGTCTCTTTCATAGTTTTCATCCAAGTTGGATCATCTTCTCTACGTCCACTAAACTTGGGCACAGGCACCAGCATCAAGAACACCTTCCTCGTAGGCAACGCCAATGTGATATTCCAACTCAAGTTCTTGGAAATATCTAAATCCTTTATTTGTGACCTGCTGCACAGCTGCAGAGGCATCTGGGTCATTCGGGTACCTTTCGATGAGGACCTGTAACACATCAGTACCAATGTTGGTAATATTTAAATTTAAGTTGATGCAATGCGATTGCCTTCGTAATTACAATAACATCGCACATCTTTTAAAGATTATTCGCTTTCATGGCAGGCGTGGACCAATCTGTGTCGCTTGTTCTCAGAGAGGTGCCGTCTACACTGACTTGCTAATGCACGAATCCGTTTGTTTCTCGTATTGCAGTGGGCCTTCACCTACTTAAATTCCATTCAAAACCATAAAAAATTCCAGTCCATGCGTTAGGCAGCGAGTAAGCAAACAACTTGCAGGTGTTCTGTTCATCAATTGAGGTCAATCCACTGCATCAAAACAATTAAATCTAGAGGACACTCTACTTTACGTGTGGAGGCTTTGCAGCATAAGAAGCACACTTATGCAATGCGAACATGGTTCCAGATTTCTATTCACATGTAAAAACTTTACCAAACTCGTGCCCATACAATGCCTTAGTTCAAGAGCCGCTCATAAAAGTGATTTCTGTTAAACCAAGTTCCATTGCTGCAAGGCTCACCTTCTTAAAAGGATCTTAAATATTTTGCTATATGCATCTGTCTACCTTGTCGTACAAGGCTGTCTGTGGCTGCGATCTGGTAATGGATGCAGAGACCTCAGATGCACATGAAACGTTGTGAGCCGAGCCCTGCAAATCTCTTTGGTGATGTTTAATGGCCTTCCTTAATGATGCACTATTCACTACAGCCCTATCTACTTCTGCCCTTACGTATCTGTGGAACAGGCCCCCTGCATCGTTGTGCATATTCTGTCTCCTGTACTCTACGGCACTGTTAAATCACACAGTTGCAGGTCCATGTACTAATGTGCAACCATTTGGTCTCTCTCGCTTTCATTGCTTTTAGCAACTGATCAGCAGACTTCGCGATTCTTTTGCCAAGTCACAAATAAACGCGTTCACTCGTTGAAAAGATGCGGTGTCTGGTGACGGCATGGTGGTGCTGGTGAAGCGAAAGCATACATTTGACTGTATAACAGCAAAGGCTCAGCTTTGGTGGTTAGTAGCTGGTGCGAGTTGTTGCAGAGGAAAGTAGGGACGACGCCAGTGGTGCAAAGGGTGATGAAAGTTGATGTGTGGGAAATGAGTTGTGATGGAGCGTGGGTGGGTAGGTGAGTGAGGTGTGCATGTACGAAGCGAAGGCGTTCAGGAGGTTGCGAGAGGGCAAGGCAGTGACGTAAAGGGTGAGGGGGAAGGAGCTGTTACATTTCATTATAAATCGGTTCTTACCTACACTGCGTATGGTGAGTATTGTTACAGCTCCTAATCTGCCTACGAGCTGACCCAATATTTGACTGATCCGACGAGGACCTAGAAGGAAAGCAAATATAGGAGAAGGTGATGATAGGAGTAGTGGTGTGTAAAGACGGTGCGGTTGCATGCCGAACAGTGTCTTCGTCGTCGTCATCCTTGAGATGACTTCGGCTGTAGGGTGTTGTGTTACACCGCACTGTGCTGTGATACAGGGCGATACGAGACAACGATGTGATGGCATGCGCTACGTCGTGGCAGCAAATAAACTAAGCCATGCCTCATTGCCATGGTAATCGTGCAATGCCACATTCACTGAGAGGAAAGCAAGTGAGGAGACCGTGCCTCCTAGGTGCTCTTTGTTGTGAATGCACCTACGCCACCTCTTCTAGCTCAATCAGTGGCATCTACTTCAACAGGGTAGGTGAATACCCTAGAAAGAAAGCACGATCGCTGAGTAGTTTCGGCATTTGAGAAATAATCGAAGGAAATGCAACTTTCATCCCTCTTCAGGTCCTCCCTCGTGTGTTAATTCACATGCTTCTTGGTAATCTAGCTCCAGATCTTAAATGCCATAGGAAGTGCTCGGACATGAAATAAGGGCCACCTCCGATGTGCCTACCACAGGTAAGCTACCAACGCTCACTTGTGTTCTAACCACATCGAAATACAAAAAAGATATTCATCTCAGCTCCTTTTCTAAAGCTGAGTGCTTTGCAAGTGTTTACGGAGGATATATAACATTTCATGTAGCTTTTGGTGAATTGAACCCCTTCAACTCTAACATATGCTCCACAACATACGTTAACAGGACCCTACAACCAGAACGTTTGCCACTTGCGCATCCACGGAGGCGTCGTCCACTTCCACAAGGCGTGTGCGTATGCAAGATTTCACTTCTGGTTGTAAAAAAAATCAAGGAAAGTGTGCGCGCTATCTTCACTTTGGCCATAACGAATTTTAAGAATAATTAGGCCATGCTTTAGGTGATCGTGCCTCTTATGCACTCTTCGTCTACTTCCAATTGTATTGGCTCAAACAATATGTGCATATTTTGGATTTTATACCCGGGTGTTGTCCGCATTGCCGAACGGTACAAAAAGGCATTGAAACTCCCCTTTTCCATCAAGGATGCAAAGCAAACCTAAAAATCTCCCTAGGAATCTTCCACAACGTCTACATTTATGCTGGTAATAATATTAAAAACTTATCTAAACACTTGTAAAGAGTCTACGGCCACCGCGAGTACAACAATGTAAGCTTTGAGACTTGGAAGTAAGAATTGCATGTAGGAGGGAGAAATGGTTGCATGCTCTAAGGTTGCAGACGCTTCACTGCAGGACCACCTGGTGAAAGGGAGTACAGTACGTGGCTTGCCTACCTTGGCCTCGAGGATAAACGGGGTCATCTCAGTCACTCGGTAAGTTCAATTGGTAGTTCTGTGGAGTCTCAAGTATAACATCGCGTTACATTAAGCCACACCAGCATGAAAGAGGAGAAGGGGAAAAGAATTAGAAATACCTGTCAGAACGCGAAGTCACGGCGACAGAAATATAACCGAAAGGAGCATGAAGAATTCGCATATTCAGATCGACACCTTCCCCACCGAGGCTAAAATGCTCCGCTTTACTCACATGCAAACCTGGACCCTCTCATCTCCACCTTACCCATCACATCACATTGCATCTCTCTTCATCTGCTCAGCTCGGCTTCACCCACCTCTCCAACTTCACAGCTCACAGGAGCCTGAAGGCGAGTAGGTGGTAATTTACCGCAGTGCAGGCAGAGGGAGGTAAGATTGGCGTCCAGAACTCAAGCGATTTATTTACTTTTTCACTACGCGTTTCCTGGAATTGAGCAAATAGTCCACATGGCACTGTGCTGTTGGTCGTCGTAGTGCATGTAGAGGATCGGCACCCACATTTCATTCATTCGCTCCCTAATACTCCTCTGCATATAATCCTATCAACTGGCACCGATTTATGGATCTTGCTGACAAACTTGTAACAAATGAATTGGATGAGCTAGGTGAGCTACACATGGTGGTGCAACGGAGTTTCCTGATTAAAATGTGTCTGCAAGGCACTTAATCTGAGTGTAGAATAAAATATACTACCCCTTTAACCTGCGCTTAAGCAAAATAAGCTTCTGCAAAATTAAAAATTGTCTAATGGGCAGCTTTTGTTTTATTTACAAGCACCAAAACAGACTACTGCAGTAGAAATTCATGTATCAGAAATTTTAATAATGGCGAAAGTAGAGAGAAAAAAGAAGTGACTGAGGGGATTGGGAGGCGATGTAGCAGAAATGAAGAATGTCAAAAAGGAAAATAACATTAGGAATGTTATTGGAACTATAAACGAGGGTTGGTATATTCCACCAGAAGAGT